ATATTTATTAAATAAGTAGGGATGTGAAATTTATTAAATGTGGGATGTGAAAATTAAATTAAATGCCAATCATTGTTGTAAACCCTGCACTTTGCATCTAGAAAGTATATAATGGTGTATATTCAAAATGATAGTCAGAGATGATAGATGAAAGACATCTTAGAGATTTTGTAAAATGCATCAAATATTTTTTTAATTTTAGATGTAAATTTTTTTTGTTGACACTTTAACAAGGCTCCCCAATGTTTCGTTTTCTCCTACTCATTTGCATTGTGTGCCCTGGCTGTGCCTTGGCTGACCAGGATTGTGATATAATTTGCTAAATATTTAACTTATATTTAAAAGAGATAGAGCACCGCATGAAAAAAGGTTAACACAAGTTGTAGATGATTTTTAATACTTAATTCAATAGTGTCAGTTCCCTGTTAATAGGCACTAAAATAGCTGTAGTAGTTATGGTGCTTAGGGAGACACTTTAATTGTGACATTCAGAAACATCCGATAGCAGAAGAGGCACTGAGACAAAACTGGGTACTTCACATGGAAATCCAGGACAGGTCTGAATGCTACCTCTCTAATTGCTCTGAGTGGCACCTTCTGTAGATCATCCACTGAAGCAGACATAACCATACCTCCAAAGTGTCTCTATTTATGAGAGACAGTCCCTATTTTGGACCCAAATCTATCTGTCTCTCTTTTCTATCCTAATGGCCCTCTTTTCTAGGAGCTCCATATTGTTGGTGTGTCTGAGTGTAAAACAGAGCTCCATAGCAATAATACTCCCAGTAATGTGTCTTTAAACTACAATAAATGTGTTTAGAAATCAGTCTGTGTAAATAAGATACATTGCTCTTGTTCAAAATTACATTTTACTTCCATAAATTGTTATTAGTAAGTCACCTATAATTTCTCAGATTAGCCCGCCCCTGGCCACTCCATCATTCACACCCCTAAAATTAAGGTGTCCCTCCTTATCAATGTGAAATGTTGGGAGGTATACAGAGAGCATGCATGTTTTCTGCTTTAGCCTGCATTAATTTGTGTATATTTCTGAAGCAGGTGTAGTGTAAAATTATTATCCCTGATACAGGACCAGTGAAAACGTATGTTACCCTGTAAAAGGACTAGTAGATGTTAGGTAAGTGTCAAATTGTGTCTCGTAGATAAGTGTGCCCAAGAGAAATAGGCCTAAAGGATACATACCTCCCAACATTTCACACAGACAAAGAGGGACACTTTAATGTTAGGGTCTCAGTGGGGTGTGGCCAGGGACGTGAATGTTCTGAGACAATAGCATGTTATACAACTAAAATTTTTATTTTCCTGCACACCTAGATGTTGACTAAAACTGTATTCCATCACCATCGTGGTACTCCATCTTTTAGATACATGTTATTCAGAGAAATCAGAGACAATGAGCAATCAGGGTTAGATTATCGTACTCAGCATAACAAAGAAACTCACCTCAGGAAAGATCTGACTTGTACATTTATTATTATTATTATTATTATGATATTTATAGAGCGCCATCAAAATCTGCAGCGCTTTACAATGGGTGGACGAACAGGCATGTAGTTGGAACCAGACAAGTTGGACACACAGGAACAGAGGGGTTGAGGGTCCTGCTCAATGAGCTTACATGCTAGAGGGAGTGGGGTATAGTGACACAAAAAGGTAAGGATAGTATTAGACTAGTGACAGTCGCAAGAAAGGAATCAGTCAGAAGTGGGTTTAGAGTGTTTAGAATGTTCTCCTGTTTTTCCGACTCAGTATAGTTATATTCCCTGTTTCTTGGACATTTTGTATACCTGTATATATATCTATCAAAATTAGAGTTCATTTAAAAAAAATATCTTCCTCTTTTCATTCAGTTATCAATTCTTTAGTAATAAACTTGCCTTGGTACGCTTATATCGCCAATTGCATTTTCAACCCCTTCATGGCAGACTATGTGCCATGGCCATTGTGATATTATTGTCCTGGCTTCAAAGTTATGGAAGGGATAAGAGGTGCTCAGTTCCCCCTGAAAATGTCAAATATCCCCTGAAAAGAAAAATCCTTAACTAGCAGACTCTCGTCTTAAAAGAGATTTTCTTCGGATATCTAGTTCTCTTCTATAATGCACTGGGATATTGTTAATCAATAAAATGTATGATAAATGGCACTCTTGTCAGCTTAACAGCTAAAAGGTGTCAGAGCTATCATTGTATCCACTTTATTGTCCTGACCTCTGATCCCTGCTGGACTGAATAGAGGGCCAGCTGGATATATCAATTCTGGAGACTGTATGGAGTTACCAGATTATGTTTAAATTGGCAGAGGGTGGCCATTTTCTTTGGGTGATTAGTACAACAGTCAAGAGGAAGCCACATGTGACACGGATTAAAACAGGTGTGGACACCCTCCCCAGTCCTGTCCCCAGCAGGTGTCACTTGGACAGGACAGCATGGCTCAAGATGTATTGTTTGTGCTGCAGTGAAGACGTGCAGGATGGGGACAGTCAATTTAGTAGCAGAAGAAATCAGAGGGAAAAAATGAGTCATTTAGTTACGCTGGAAAAAACAAGATTATTTGCCAATCAAGAAAGCTAGACACTTTTCACAATGTAGGACCGTGCTCATTTTTCAGATGATCGATGCAGTATTACGTTTATTCTAAGAATTCTTATTTTTATAGCATTTTGATATATATTTTTTATAACCTTTCCACAGTTTAGAATTATTAGAGAAATGCAATTCTCATACTTTGGATAATGTTGACTCTTTTTGTTTGATAAAACAGTAATTCCATCACAACAGATTGTTACAACGTTTAATAGAAAACTCCAAAAAATGTATGTGCTAAATTCATAATGCATTGACATCGTAAATGTGATCTCTGCATTTTTATTCTAGGAAAAATCAGTCACATTCCTTTATTCTTTAGACATAAGTTACTAGAACTCAATAAATTAACATATTTCTCTTAATTGGTAAGTTTATCTATTTAAAAAAAGAGAGATTTGTGTAACCATAAGCCGCTCATGAGCCTCTAAATGTCCTAATATTTTTATCCCATTTCCTTTCAGGATAAAACTCTCTTTCTATTTAAAAAAAATTCTGTGGGTGAGTTAGCCTTCTTAACCCTTTCATGGAAGGACAGGTGAAGAAAACTTCACAGCCCTTACACTCATTGACCCCCTCCACCTACACCCTCCACAAATTATTCTCCCCCTGTAGTGTCAGTATGCTTGTGGTGGGTGATATATCAGATTGTTTGAAAGGGAAACAAAAGTTCACAAAACAATAAGTGTACGCAGAGCACGTTTTTAGAAAGATTGGAACCTGCCAAAAGGCTTACGGTGCTAGGTGTCAATTTTCTTCGGTTCCTAGCCAAAGGAACAGCTGCATCACGCTGAGCAAGCCTGAAGACGAACACATGTCTAACTCTGCTGTTTCAGGTTTTTAACCAACTGAATGGAGAAACCTTATGGTAACCCTTGCCAATTGTAATCCGTAATTTAGTGGGTGGCATGGGCCCAGCTATTGATGGGTTTCAGTCAACATATCTTGGTTATTTTATTACCTTCAAATCTTACTTTACATAAGGAGGAAAGATGATCTGCACATTTTCTCCCAAAATGTCTGTCGTTGTCAATGCAGATGAAGAATCCACTTCTGTTAGCTTTTATGTAAATTGCAGTAATCCATTTAAAGACCTAAATCTATGCAGTATTGTACCATGTACATTTCACTCTCTCATTGAAAGAAGGCCCCCCCATAAAGAAAAAAGCTATTTAATCATCTTGCTTCATGGAAGTAGTTTTACTCCCTAACATAAGACAATGCAGATCCGAGAAGATTTAGTGTGATTTATACCTCACACCCTTTTCTGAGATTGTGAAAGCTTGAGGAGACCTTCTGAGACTTTGACTTTACACCCTTCCCTGAGAAAGTGTGGGTTTCAAGAGACCTGCTAAGCCTCACACTGAAGACAATCAAGGTAAAGGATGGTGTAGGACTTCGATCTCAGGACTACAGCTATCTGTACCACCATACACCTGTTTTGATGCTTAGGTGAAAACATACTTCTGATTCCAGAGGAGTACTATCTGGATAGTTTATAGAGGACCTTGATCAAAGAAGCTTCCATTATGGGTCAAGATTTAAACTTAGAAAAGAGCAAAATAGGGAGAGGAGGCAGGTGTAGCTAATATATACTTATATATTTCTCCCTCCACACAGTGCACCTTGAAAGTTGACCTCTTGGAAAGTGAAGATACAACCAGAAAGCACAGTTTGTGGATACCAATTAGTATTTTACCTGCATTGAACTAGAGTTGATTCTGCCAGTTATGTCCTCAGAATGTCTTTGTGTCATGTTGGAAGTGTCTACATTCATGCAGATGTCGAAGGCCTTGGAAGCAAACACCAGCAATGTCACAGACTTAAGTCAGTGCTTGCAGGAAACAATCAAGGTGTGTTATTGGCAGAAAGCTTTTCCAAGAAATTAAACCGGGTCAGTTAGTTATAAGAATTCTGCAAGCTCTTGATTTAGCTAAATCTGTGACCTCTCTCTATCCTCGCCCATTGCCTTGACACAACTGAAGAGTGATAGCACCCATCATTTCATAATTCACCAAACATTGAGTTTGCTCTAATCATTTGACCCTGTTTATTGGAGCCCAATAAGGCTGGTCTGGATGAATCCAAAGCTGGAATCATATTTCTGGAAGAAATATCAACAACCTCAAATACGCGGATAATACTATTCTGATGACTGAAAGTGAGGGAGAACTAAAGGACCTGTCGATGAGGGTAAAAGAAGAGAGTGCAAAAGCTGGCTTGCAGCATAATGTTAAAAAGACTAAGATCATGGCAAACAGCAATCTTAGTTCCTGGTAAATAGATGGGAAAGAAGTAGAGGCAGTGACAGATTTTATTTTCCCGGGATCCAAGATCTCCTCAGATGGTGACTGTAGTCATGAAATTAAAAGACGTTTGCTTCTGGGGAGAAAAGCTATGGCAAGCTTGGACAAGCTGGTAAGAACTAAAGATATTACACTATCAACAAAGGTCTGTATAGTCAAAACTATGGTATTCCAGGTAGTAACATACGGATGTGAGAGCTGGACTATAAAAAAGGCTGAGCATCATATAATAGATACCTTTGAACAGTGGTGTTGGCGAAAACTGCTTAGAATTCCTTGGATTGCAAGACGATCCAATAAATCCAGACTACAGGAAATCGAGATAAACTGTTCACTGGAAGCTATGATCATGAGGCTGAAGCTCAAATATTTTGGCCATATAATGAGAAGGCAGGATTCTCTAGAGAAGACTCTGATGCTGGGAAAGATTGAAGGCACACGAAGTAGGGGACAACAGAGATGGAGATGTATAGATGAAGTCACTGAAGCCAGGAACATGAAGTTGTTAGAGCTCAGAGGGGCAGTGACTGAAAGACAGAGACAGAGATGGATAGATGAGGTCACTGAAGCCACGAACATGAAGTTGTTAGAGCTCAGAGGGGCAGTGACTGAAAGATGTACCTGGCGTGCGATGGTCCATATTGTCACGGAGAGTTGGACACGACTGAACGACTAAATAACAATATTGGAGTCCAATACATTCTAGTTATGGCTGATAAAAGAATTGCCATCATGTTTAGTCGGGCACATTCCCTTTAAATGAATAGACAAACATTTATTTTATAGCTAACGAGTCATTAGCAAATTTCCTTAAAAATCCAGAAAGATCCAATAATGATTCATAATGTTACTTACAAGGCTGAGCTGAGCGGATTCTTATTCCATGGCTCAAACTACTCAAATTTCCAGTAATATTGCCCATGACCTTTTGCTTGAATCACACAAAGTGTAAGTCAGTTTATATATCTATTACAAGATGAGTAAAAAACAATATGATATGTACTATTTACAGCTCTGAATCATGAAAGGACGAACAGTAACCAGAGACGCTTCAATAATGCCAAAGCCTCGCTCCGATCCCATCCCTGCTATTTATATTCCATTTTACCGCTTGTTACATTTTTCTAAGAGGAAGATTAAATGAGGAAGATAGTGACTCAGTGTCCTACACTCTTTATTCATGATTAGTTAGTATATATTTAAAAGATGATATAGTGTGACGTATATAATGTATTAAAGAGCACCCCTTGTGGGCTGTTTTTGGGGGGATGATTAAAAGGTTGTGTTAAAGTAAAGCAGAAAACATTATTACTTGTAAAGTGGATCTGCCACTCTAGAGGTTTAAAAGAAGATACCATGGTGATGAAAAACTACAAGAGATGCATACGTGCCACACACTGTATCGTTATATATTGAATATGTGCCACGTGCTGTATCTTTATATATTGTAAACGTGCCACATACTGTATCCTTATACACTGTAAACGTGCCACGTGCTGTATCATTATACACTGTAAACATGCAAAATAATGTATTGTTATATACCATACATGTGCCACGTGCTGTATTGTTATATACCGTAAATGTGCCACATACTGTATCATTATACACTGTAATTGTGCCACGTGCTGTATCACTATAAACTGTAAACGTGCCACATACTGTATCATAACACAGTAAATGTGCCACTTGCTGTTTCATTATACACTGTGTTTACGTGGCGTGTGTTGTGTTATTACACACTCTGTATATGCCATGTGCTGTATCATTATACACTGTATACGTGCCATGTGTTGTATCATTACACACTGTGTACGTGTCGCATGATGTATCATTATAATCTGTGTACGTGCCACGTGCTGTATCATTACACACTGTGTACGTAGGGTCAAAGGTCAAATAAGACACCATTTTCAATTTGATGATTGTTTGGACCTTATATAAACCCACATGTGCCAGGCTAACATTATGTACATGTACTTAACTGAATAAGGACAAAATAGCTTCCCTGGAGGTCTTTCCCACTTAGACCTCTTCAATATCAGATGTGTAGAAAAAAGGAAAAAGGGATGCAGCTAAGAACTAAAATAAAAAAGAAAACAGACAACACATAGTGATGTACAGTTGGATTAGATAACACACTGCAATAACGGTTGCACTCACAAGATTTAAATCAGAATTTGCGCCTTGAAATCCACTAAGGGATATTGCTGGACCGCTTCCACTGGAGAATGGTGGATAGTAAGCAGACTCAGATGGCTCAGGATACGATCAGGAACCAAATTTAAAAAAAAAAGATTTATTTAGGCACAATTGCCCAATAAAATATAAAAAATAAGAATAAAATCTAACGCGTTTCGCCCAACGCAGTGGACTTCATCAGAAATAAAAACAAACTCAACAATGGTACATGAAACAAGCATGCATATAAACCACCCCCCTCACAGTCCCATTAAATACATATTGTAGAAGGAGTTTATTGAAGATCAATCAGGTGTGCCTGGACTCCAGAGGACTTTCATTGGTGGGCAGAGAGGTAGACCAATCTTCATTGGACCTGTTAATGACACCAACTTATGTGTATAATTGCCAGTGTAGATTTTCGCGGGTCCGTCTGGCTTCCACTTCCTCCTTCCGGTTTCCCACATCACTTCCGGTTCAGGTTAAAATGTCCTGAACGTCTATGCATTCCAACTGTGAATTTACAAGTGTTCCATAACAAGCATTTAATGCTCGGAGAGTATTAATATTGCAGGTGTGAAAAAATGTAATGTAAAAAGTTAATTATATACATGTGTATTATCTAGAAAGAAAAGAGAGGACAGTGTCATGTCATAAAGCTAGATCTATATTGACATTCATCCCTTTTGGCTCTAGGGAATCTAATCGATAGATCCAATATGTTTCTCTTTGAGACAATTTAAGATCTCTGTCCCCTCCTCTCCAATGGGGGGATAATTGTTCAATGCCTACACCTTTAAAATCTCTCCAATTGAAAGAAGGACACGAATTGCAATGGACCGGTACGGATTGGGAGGTCATACCTTTTTGGCATCATTCTAGATAATATCCATTATAAGGAAACTGATTGTTAAGACTTACTTGATTTTCTGGAAAAGATCTGCATCTCTCCACTAAAAGGAATTTTTTCTATTTCTATTTTTATCTATTTTTTTATATTTATATTTATATATTTTTTGTATTCATAGGAGAAAATTTAGTTTCTACTGATTAACCACATTTATAACCACTTAATAGTTTTCATATGCTCCGCTGTCACACTTTCGGGGTCTCTGTTTGATCTATAAAAAGTTTTTTAATATAAAATACTTTTTTCTTTATTAAATCTGAATACCTATATGTTCAGTTTACATCACATTTCTAAATATTAAATAATTTTTCTTTTCCCAGTAAATTGGGAATCTTTAATAGAAGGTAGCAGAAACTATTTCAGTATTATCACCAAGTGGAAATATTCACTTTATTTGTGTGTAATGACACATAACATAAATACACATGAAATATATATATAAAAAAAAACAACTCTTTATTAAAACCTTGATGATGAGAGATGCATTGTTTCCTTTTCCCATTGTATTTTATTTTTATGCAATGTATTATTCTTTTTGATAGGTAACATATATATATATTGTTAATGCACATGTATATAATTAACTTTTTTACATTCGATTTTTTCACACCTGCAATATACTCTTCGAGCATTAAATGCTCGTTATGCAACACTTGTAAATTCACAGTTGGAACGCATAGACGTTCAGGATCTTTTAACCGGAACCGGAAGTGATGCACAAAACCGGAAGGAGGAAGTGGAACGCATACACGGTCCGGTGGAACGCAAGCTGGACGGACCCACGAAAATCTACACCGGCAATTATACACATAAGTTGGTGTCAAGTGATTGATCATCAGTCAACTCCTTCTACAATATGTATTTAATGGGACTGTGAGGGGGGTGGTTTATATGCATGCTTGTTTCATGTACCATTGTTGAGTTTGTTTTTATTTCTGATGAAGTTCACTGCGTTGGACGAAATGCGTTAGATTTTATTCTTATTTTTTTATATTTTATTGGGCAATCGTGCCTAAATAAATCTATTTTTTCAAAATTGGGTTCCTGATTGTATCCTGAGCCATCTGAGTCTGCTTACTATCCACCATCCTCCAGTGGAAGCGGTCCAGCAATATCCCTTAGTGGATTTCAAGGCGCAAATTCTGATTTAAATCTTGTGAGTGCAACCATTATTGCAGTGTGTTATCTATTCCAACTGTACATCACTATGTGTTGTCTGTTTTCTTTTTTCTTTTAGTTCTTAGATGCGTCCCTTTAACATTATGTACACTTGAAGAAGCCCTTTGTGGCAAAACGTGTTGTGTTTTAATCTAAATAAAAGTATTTTTTTTTGGACTATTTTAAATACTTTTATATTTATCCTTATTTTTTTACCTGGCATATCCTAAACATCTGAAGCTTTTATACCATCCAAAGAATCCATGGTGGGGATCGTACCACCCAGGCGCTTTACACATAGCGGTTTGCTACGTAAATTGTGAGTACATCTCTTATTTTATCCAGCACTTTTTTAATATAGAGAGCACTATGGGCGTTCTCTTGTGTTTTTATTTCATATAACCTGCACTGAAAATCTTGTGAGAGGAATATCCAATCTCAGTGCTGTCTATAGCCATACTCCTTTAAGTTATTGCACCGTTGGTCCCCTCTGTGTGTTTTTTTTCTTTCATATATGTTGATGAGAACTTGACCCAAAACATCCTGAGAATTTATGAAGAATATACCTGTGAATTAGAGACTTTAATTTGCCTGTTTCCCTGGTATTTTTTTTTTCCTATTATACATTTTATTTATTTACTTTGTTCTTGGCGCACCCTGTAATTGTTGTTTCCTGTTTTTCCAGAACAGGAAAATGAGCCTCGCCGCTGCATTCATTATAGATTGCAACCCTTTTGTTTTTGCCACCATTTTTCATGAGCTGAACTCAAAGATCTAAGACTTTTTTATGTCCACAAAAGGCCTATTTCTCTCAAATATTGTTCACAAATCTGTCTAAATCTGTGTTAGTGAGCAGTTCTCCTTTGCCGAGATAATCCACGCACCTCACAAGTGTGGCATATCAAGATGCTGATTAGACAGCATGATTATTGCACAGGTGTGCGTTAGGCTGGCCACAAAAAAAAAGCCACTCTAAAATGTGCAGTTTTATCACACAGCACAATGCAACAGATGTTCCAAGTTTTAAGGGAGTGTGCAATTGGCATTCTGATTGCAGGACAGCTATTGCACCATGAATTGAATGGTGATATGTTTATTCCTCATTCTCTGGTCCTCTACCAGAGGCCTGGGAGTTTGAGGGTTCTGTGCAATCTCAGCTGTTCCTAGAACTGCACTCTTCTGGACAGCGAACTCAGTTGTACAACCTGGGATCTGTTGAAGTCACTCCCCTAACTTGGGAGTCACAGCCCTGAGTGCTCCTATCACAACTGGGACTTCTACTGCCTTCCACATTCTTTCTAGTTCTTCTTTCAGTCCTTGGTATTTCTCCACCTTATCATGTTCCTTCTTCCTGATGTTATAGTCACTGGGTATTGCCACATCCACCACAACTGCAGTCTTCCCCCAGGATCTTAGCCCTGTCATTC